ATAGCGTCACTGACCCATGTGGGATCCGAACTGGCGGCCCTGCTGCTCAGAGCTCGCACTTTCAAGCCAACTCTTAAGCAGCGAGCCACTCAGCTGGCCCCCTCGCAACTTCTTATCCATCAAAAAGTTTAGGTGCGGCCAGGTGGCCCAGTTGGTTAGAGCGCAAGCTCTGAGCAACAAGATTGCCGATTCGATTCCCACATGGGCTAGTGAGCTGTGCCCTCCACAACTAGACTGAAGACAATGACTTGAGATGAGCTGCTGGTGGGTGGCCAGATGGCTCAGTTGGTTGGAGCCCATGCTCTGAACAACAAGGTTGCTGGTTCGATTCCTGCATGGAATGGTGGGCTGTACCCCCCCCACCCCCCCTCTTGCAACTAGATTGAAAATGGAGGCTGGTCTTGGAGCTGAGCTGCACCCTTCACAACTAAGATTGAAGGACAACAACTTGACTTGGAGCTGATGGGTCCTGGGAAAAACACACTGTTTCCCAATAAAGTTTAAAAAAAAAAAGTACTTAAAAAAAAAAGTTTAGTATGTCGTCCTCATCTATGCTATTGATAGAAAGTATTAAGTAAGAGTACTTAAGGTTTAGTCTTAGGCACTGTAGAAAAAAATTGTTTTAAAGATACATCAAAAGACATTTGGAAAAAAATTTGTTGACAACTTTGTTTTCAGATTCTTGTTTGAGACATGTTAACGTTTTTATGTATGTATCTTACTTTTTCTTTCTTCTCAGGGATCCATCTGTCTCTAAGTCAGTAGAACGCATCTTTAAAATCTGGGAAGATAGAAACGTATACCCAGAAGAAATGATTACGGCATTAAGAGAAGCTTTGAGTAAGTGTCTTTTCTCTCCTAAAAGAAAATTGGAGTCATTGTTCAGTCTTTAAAATTTTATATATTTTATAGATCCGGTCCTGTTGCTTAATAATGAAAAATAAAATTTTGGATCTGACCTTATTTGTTTAAAATTAAATACTCAATAAAAATCCGAATTAAAATTTAAGTAAAATTGATTTGGGGAGGGTTGGATTTTGTTTTTGACTAAAGAAAGTCAAGCATATTAAGTGATGATGGCCATCTCACTTTCCTCCTTTTGAGTGTTTAAACTGTTCATTTTTTGTGTTTAATAATTGCTACCCTGTCCTCTTACTATTGGATAATTTTTAGAAAGGGTTTCAGTTTTCACTAAGTATTTGATATTAAGCATATATTGACATTCTTCAGTCTCTATTTTGGTTTAGATTTGCAGTAAGTTGAGTACCTGTTTTTTAAAAAGTATTTTAGTTCCTGTGTATTAGATGCATGAAATTAGGTCATTGAATAGAAGCTGGTAATATCGGATACCATGACCATTATTTGATTAGAAATTTGCTTTAAAAATAGCATCTTCTAAGAAGCTGTTAAATTCTTCATTAAATGTGTTAACTGGTATTTTTAACCTTTCTCCCCAAAATCTGTAATTTCATTGACTGTAGAAATCGTGTGTGTTTGACAGCTTCTTAGAGATCTGGTACGTATTTTTAGTTTTTTACTAAAAATGACAGAAAAGGGAAGAAAGACACAACACACAGTCTCGGATTGCCTTTTTTCATGCTACCATGTTGGCTCTGAAGTGGACAGACAGAACAGCTTCCCATAATGCCAGATTGCAAAAACTGAAATGTTTTCCAGGTACCACTTTCAAAACTCAGAAGCAGATGAAAGAAAATCTGAACAAACAACCGAATAAGCAGTGGAAGAAATCACAAAGTAAGGAACAAAATCTCAACTAATGTAAAATTAACTCCTTTTGGGAGCAGAAGAAAATGTAGACCATTTGACATCGTCCCGCGCATAAAAACCGTGGGCAGAGCCTGTGTTTTCCAGGCCTGGGAGGCCCCCAGTGACTTACACTACACAAGCCATCATGGAGTCACTTCTTTAAAAACAGACAGACAAACAAAACGAAACTACTTTTAAGCAAAGGAAATGCAGGAAAAGGGTTTAAATGAGTGAAGATTCAAGAGTAGTTGGGGGATTGAAAGAAGAAAATGATGCTTGATAGTGCCCGGGCTGACTCTCAGGTTCAAAGATAACGTGAAGCTAGAGGCAGCTGGCATTGAACAGCAGAGCTCAAGAGGAGTCTAGTCATTAAGAAGCATTTCTGTGGGAGCCATGACATCTTTCAGATTGGGGGATACACTCTGCCAGATTAGACATGGGCCTGAAATCCTGGCCAGAAGCTCATTTTCTAACAGGAGCCCCTGCTATGTCTTTCATGTTTACCCAGCATGGGACCAAGGGCGTGGAATACTGCATGCATAGGTGGTTGGCTGTGGGCCAAACTGAGGAATACTGAGAAAGACTCAAAGGTGTGGAGGGAACGAGGGAAAGGACAGTAAGAAGTGGGAGGCGAAACCAGACATTTTGCTCCAGCAAGCGCATGGCAGTCACCAGGATTAAGGGAACCCTTTGACATCCTTTTGGTCATAAGGTGCATGCTTAGGAACCCCAGGAGTCTCCATTTCCGCCACAGTTCAACCACAGTGATAATGTACTTAGAGCTTGTCTTGCCTTTTTTTGCTGAGAACTGAGTCAGCAGGAAAAGAAATCCAAAGCTAAATACATAGGTATAGAGTAAGTGATTTTCTTCAGCCAGTGCTCAGGCTTAATTGGATGTCCTGCTCCTGAACACTCGTAATGTGAGGTGTTGAGATCCTCTTACACGCAGTCAGTCTAGGAAGAAAGGTACTCCCTGTGTCTCCCAATCAGTAATTCTAGGACTTTATGACTTAAAGGGCCTGTTGGAGGTAAGTAGGTCAGTCCTATCTAAACAACATATTTTTATATTGACCACAGTTGGCGGTGTTTAAATCTGATATTCTGTTTGTGTTAGGACTTATGCTATGATTTAAATGTGCATGTCTGGCATATGTTCAAAGTACACCCTTAACTAGAAGAGCTAAAATTTTCCTGAATATTAGTCAGCTTTTCTATCTGTATTGATGACCTTCTGTTTAATTCCAACAGCATCCACGAATCCAAAAGCTGCTCTCAAGTCTAAGATAGTTGCTGAATTTCGAGTAAGTTACAGAATATGTTTGACATGCCAAAGCATTTTCCCCCCTTTTCATGTTACTGTAGCCTGTGTAACCCAGTAAGATTGACTTTTACTCAGTTGTACATCAGTTATATTTTATGTTATGTTAAAATCCAGATTGGGGTCAGATTACAGAGTTTTATCTGTACTACTAATGAAATAACCTTCTTAGAGAATACCTATTAACCGGCTCTGAGTTCTGTACTGAACCCCCTAACAGGGGCTTCATCTTTCTGTGAAGCTCTACTAAATTAGAATTTGTTTAGAATTAATATAATAAAACTGTTTATGTAATTAAAATTTAAAGAAGATTTAAGTAGACCTTCGTTTTAGTCTTAACTCTATAGCCATAAGTTAGCTCTGAATAAGGAAAAGGATCTTTTAAAACATGTGACTGAAAATAGGGTTTTGACATGAGAATTGATATCGCTATCGCTGACTGTGAGGACATTTGAAGGGTTTTTCCCTCTTGGGGTTTTATTAGGTTTTGGGGGTGAAAAGATACACAAGTCAATCTCGTAAGTGCAATTTGACTCTGCTCTGTGTTCAGTCTCAGGCGCTCATTGAAGAGCTGTTGCTATACAAGCGCTCAGAAGATCAGATCGAATTGAAGGAGAAGCAGCTGTCGACTATGAGGGTGGATGTGTGTAGTACAGAAACTCTCAAATGCTTAAAAGGTAATACATACATCCATTTACCTAGAATAACTTAGATTTTATTTCCAGGCTTGTCATTTTCAAGTGATGAGACTGGCTTCCCCATGAAGACAACCTTAGGTTGTAGAGAGCGGCTTGGGGTCCCCAGAGTAGTGATTTCACGCATATATTGGCTTGTCGGAAAAGTCATGACATATTTTTTCTATGTTTTTCATTGCAAAAATACATCATGACTTTTCCGACAACCCAATAGATTTCATAAGTAAACTCCTGCCTTTCCCGCTGTGCCCCTTAGACTGGCACATTGGTACATGCAGCTACATCTCCACAAAGCCAGAGGAAAAGAAATTTTAAAAACCCCAAGAAATTCTGTCATTTTCATCACTTCTAGCACTTTCTTGATGTATGGCTTACATATGGACAGCTGTGTCTCACGTGTGTGGTTCACTGGCTTGGGTATGTGCTTTAATGAGGTCCCTGGAATGGCTCATAAAATCTAGTTTGGTTGCTCTCTTTTCCTTACATTGTAAATTACAAGGAATCATCATATTAATAATTAATTAGAATATAAATTTCATGGAGGTAGAAATTACCCTTATGTGTTCACTGCTCTATCCAGCGCCTAGAGCAATGCTTAGTGTACATAATAGGCTTTTGATAAATACTTTTGAAATAACAGGTAAATGGCTACTAGATGCTCATTTTGGCATCTATTCTTTTCTTGCACAATGCTTTAAATTGAACATGTTACCTAATTTAATCCGCACAACAACCCAGCAGCGTAGTAAAAACCTCCATTTTGTACATGAGAAACCCAGGGCTTCATAAGGAGATGAGTAGCTTGTCTCAGTCACCCAGCTGGTAAGAGCCAAAGCCAAAATTTCTACTGTTATCTAAAGCCATGTTGCAACAGTCATGGCAAAGAAGTACACTTAGGAGAGTAAGTAACAGTTTGTAATGTCACTGTTGTTGAAAGCATAATTCATGCTTTGTACTCCTCTGATAGGAAATTATCAGGGGTTTTCTTCAGCTAGGAAGGAAGAACTTTTAGTGTTATTCCCACAGAGGTCACTTTATCTTTCCTGAGCCTAAGTTTTCTCATCTGAGCGCTGTATCTTCTACATTCTATTGGGTAAAAGTTAGCAAGTAGTGTGGCGTCAAGTTTGTAAAGAAAAATAATCAGCAAACTTTCTTTTAGTTGGACTTTCTTTTGTTTACCTCAATTACAAGTCCCTCGCAACACACTCTTGTGTAACTCTCAGATTCACAGGAATCATTTTAATAACGTTTTGGAATTTGGAGAAGCATTTTTAAGGTGAAACTATGAAACTAAGATTATTACACACTAAGGCAGTAAGAACAAGTTCACAGATCACCTAGAGTGGAGTTTTCTTCACAAGATGAAATTGTTTACTTTTTTTTTTTAATCCTGAAATGAATACTTCCTCTTATTATTTTAGATAAGACAGGTGGGAAGAAATTCTCCAAGGAATTTGAAGAAGCAAGCGCCAAGCTGGAGGAATTTGTGAATGGATTAGATAAGCAGGTGAAAAATGGGCCCTCACTAACAGAAGCACTGGAAAATGCTGGAATTTTCTATGAAGCACAGTACAAAGAAGTAAAAGTGGTGGCCAATGTAAGTAGTAATTAAAGCTCTTCTATCCATTGCTTACTGCACATCAGTGACTGTTCTCTGTGTTATCTAACTCTGTGAGGATAAGCAGTAATACCTTCAGTTCACAGATGAAGAAGTTACTTTTTTTTTTTTTTTTAATTTTATGGGGGAACAGCCATGGTCATTGGTTACACAGTGCTTTCATGTTAAAATGGCATAGCTGACTCTTTTAAGGAGGGCGCAGCTTACAGTGGCCCATGTGGGGATCGAACCGGCAACCTTGGTGTTATCAGCTCCACATTCTATAACCAACTGAGCTAACCAGTCACCCCAGAAGAAGTTACTTTTGAAGAAGGTTGGTAACCTTGTGCAGGTAATATCTATAGCCAGCAAGTGGTAGAGTCTAAATTAAGACCTGGGTCCTTCTGACGCCGAAGCTCATTCATCCCCTGATTGTTATGCCTCAAGGTCTAGCATTTCAGGGAGTATGCCAACGTACTGTTACAGGATATAAAATTAGGCTGAAGCATATATACTTTTTTTTTTTTTAACAGAAAAACTAGATAGAAACATTCTGTTACTAAATTGCATGTAAATCGACTGAATTAAGGGCTCTCTTTGTCCCCACTCCACTGGAAGGGGAGTTGATAATTGGACATTTGTCTAGTGGCCTCTGCACAAAACTGTTTTGTACTTAATTTTTTTAAAGTTTTAATCACTATACAGGATCATAAAAGCATATGGTAGTGTAGATCCCATCAGCCCCACTTCTTAGGAGCAATTCTTTTTAACTCATTTAGCTATTTTTTTTTCTGTCATTTGCCTCCATATTTCTAAATAATATGCCCATATTGTTCTTTGTTGGTTTACCCTATTTAATAAATATATTAACTTCTTGATATGACAAATCAGGATTTAGCCTATACATTCCTGTCGTCCCCTTTTCCCCAATATTATTGTATAACTTTTAAATCTGTGGCATGCGATGCAAGTTGAAGTATAGTTGAACCTTGAACAATGCGAGGTTTGCAGTCAAAATCTGCATATAACTTTGACTTCGCCCAAACTTAACTACTATGCAGTCACCACCGCTCAGTACCCACTGGGGATTGGTTCCAGGACTCCCTGCAGATATCAGAATTTGCAGTGCTCAGGTCCCTTATGTGAAATGGCACAGAACAATGCATACCATCAGCCCACTCATCTACAGATTGAAAATAACTGTTTTCCATCCGTGGTTGGTTGAAGCGGCGGGTGTGAAACCCAGGGATGCAGAGGGCTGACTGACTGGTATTTACTGAAAAAAATCCATGTATAAGTGGACCCATGTTCTTCAAGGGTCAGCTGTACTGTTTTGGCCGCTAACTCTAGGCTTGCTCTACCCTGTAAGATGAGGACATTAACATCACTATCCTTTACCCATTAGTTGTCATCCAGCTACTTCCCAACTTCAGTAAATGTATACTTTTATATTGTCAAAGTTAATAATAATTCCATTCCATTGTACAATCGTATTTGTCTTCCTTGCTTTAAAGGTTGAAAATTAATAAACAAAGCTTACATTATAATGATATAAACATTGTTCACTGCAAGGTCTTACAGTAACTGTGCTTATGTTATAGATGTTTGGATTTTTCCTAGAATTTCTTTTTTATTTTTTTAAAGATTTTATTGGGGAATTGGGGGAAGGAGAACAGACAAGTTGCTGTCCTTTTGTTTTTCAGTCTAGTTGTGGAGGACGTCACTTCACTGGCCCATGTTGATATTATCATTGCGCTTTTCCTGGGTGAGGCAGTCTCTCTCACTGGCCATTGGACGGCCGCCCAGCTCCCGGTCGAGCTGTTGTTCACCATCTTAGCTGTAGAGGGCGCAGCATCACTGGTCCACATGTGGGATCCAAACCGGGGCCTTGCTGCTCAGAGCTGGCGTCCCAAGCCAACACTTAACCAATGAGCCACTCGGCTGGCCCTAGAATTTCTTTTTTTCTCGCATTGTTTGCCTTCTCATAGCCCCCACCCACCCTCAATCCTCTATCACATCAGATATTCTGAATCTACCTTTTCCCTAGAGGCCTCCCTGCCTGAACTTCCATTCTCTGCTTCAGTTTTACGTCTCTTAGATATCATCCTAGGACTACTCTTTACTGCTATTCTTAGATGAGCCTTCTTTTTTTTAGATTCCATGTCTTCTTTTCTTGGTACCTCTCGTTTTGCCAGAGCACATCCTCAATTAATTTCCCCCAATAGGAGGTTTTCAAGAGAGAAATTTTCTGAGCCCTTATATCTAAAATGGCTTTGTTTTCTCACATATGCTTTGATATTTTGGCTGGGTGGAAAGCATTTCACACCACAGTTTAGAAGATATTACTTCATTGTCGACATGAAGTCTTTGCAGGATCCTTTGTAGAAGACTGTTGTTTTCTGCCTGGAAGCTTCTAGGGATTTTATCCATGGTGTTCTGAGATTTTTACAGTGATGCATCTGCATGTAAGATTTTGTTTTCATTCATTATCTGTTACTTGGTGTGCTCTTTCAGTCTAAAGATCAGTATTCTTCAACTCTAGGATAATCTCTTTCTCTTCATTTTCTTTATTTTCTCTTTCTGGAACATTGATTAATCAGATGTTAAACCTCCTAGATTGATCCTCTGTGAGTCCGTGTTTTCCCAATCTTGATCTTTTTGTTCTGCCTTGTGGAAGAATTCAGCTTTATCTTTCAGCTTCATCTTCTCATATTTTTATATTTGATACTCATATTTTAAATTTCTAAGAATTCTTTTTTGTACTCTGTTCCTTTTTTTTTACAGCAACCCTTTCTGATTGTATGGATAGCTAGTGTCTCTGCAGATAACAAAACATTTTTCTCTTTCCTGAATTGTCTTATTTCCCTTTAGAGTCTTTTTTTTTTTAACCCTCCTAGTTATCTTGGTCTTTCTCTTTTATGATTTTGGCTTTCCTCAAAAACTCAGGTATCTCTTTGTCCATTCACATTTAAGAATGAGGTATGAAAAGGTGATTGGGGGGCTCTCTGTCCATACATAGGTAGGGATTATC